CCCAAGGTCGTGTCGAAACGCATTCCGTCTCCACCAGTGATCAGAATCACCTACTGTGGGGACACAGGCATGTACTGGAATTTGTAAATGTTCTTGAGGTCCACACGGACCATCAGATGGCTCCCCAAGGAAGGGCTGTGTTAGTGGCCTTGAAAGAAAGTGGGGGAAGTGGGTGTGAGACAGGTTCAGTCTGAGAATATCAGACTGAGGGTCGCCTGGGGGGCTCAGTCTGTTGAACGTCCGACTTCAGCTCAGGTCATGATCTCGTGGTTTGTGGGTTTGAGCCCCACGTTGGGCTCTGTGCTGACAGCTCAGAGCCTGGAGCCTGCTTTGGATTCTGTGTCTCCCTCTCTCTGACCCTACCCTGCTCACGCTGCCTCTCTCTCTCTCTCAAGAATAAATAAAACATTGAAAAATTAAAAAAAAATATATATGAGACTCGGTCAGAAGTTGGTGGGATCGTTTTCTCCAGATTTCACTAGACTCCACAGAGAAGTGCAGACGAGCTGTCCAAGCATCTGGGACAGTGGCATTATTAGAACAGAGAAAAGGGAAACACTTTCATTGCAGGTGACATAGCTGTCTGACCCTCCCAACCAATTTGGATGGAAGAAAAGGTGACACTGAATTTAGGCTTCATTCACCCAAAGCCTCCTTTGCATTCTCGCGCTTGCAACATGGGGCTCAGACAGTCAGCATTTGAGTTTCCTTGTGTGACTGTACGCAGACCTCACCCTGTTTTCATTGCTGTAGTTCAGCCGCTCTCAGATGTGGTCGGGAGAACAGCCCTTATAGGGGGTGAGTCAACACTGTATTTATAATAACACTAAGACGTTGTTTGCCTTTTTTACTCATATCTCACAAGTGCATAGTGGAATTTTCCAGAAGCTACATGACATGTGCTGATGTTGTCAGCTGTGACGGGTAGTGAAATGTGTGCTTGTGCATTCTTGTGTTTTGGTTCTATTTTTTGTTTTTTGGGTTTTTTAGAGTTGTTTCTTTATTTTTTTAAAATGCTTATTTATTTTGAGAGAGAGAGAGTCCGCACAAGCGGGAGAGGGGCAGAGGGAGAGGGAGAGAGAAAATCCCAACCAGGCTCCCCACCATTAGCCCAGAGCCCAGCGTGGGACTGGATCTCATGAACCGTGAGATCATGCCCTGAGCCGAAGTCGGATGCTTAAGGTCATCTTTCCTCATTGTCCGTTTCCTTTGCCAACTAAAATACCATTTTACATCTAATCACCATTTCCGATTACTGAAAAGTAATCGTGCCGTTGCCGCCTGAGTGCGCTGGGTGTGGACGCACTTTGTACTGATGCCGCCTGGGTGTCGGGGGCGCGGACGCCCTTCATAGACGCCGCCTGAGTGTCGGGGGCGGGGACGCGCCTCGTGCCAATGCTGCCTGAGTGTCGGGGGCGTGGGCGCCCTTCATAGACGCCGCCTGAGCGTCTGGGGCGCAAACGCCTCGTGCCGACGCCGCCCGAGTGTCGTGGGCGCCCTTCATAGACGCCGCCTGCGTGTCAGGGGCGCGCACGCGCCTCGTGCCGACGCCACCTGAGTGTCGGGGGCGCGCACGCGCCTCGTGCCGACGCCGCCTGAGTGCCGGGGGCGGGGACGCGCCGCCTGAGTGCCGGGGGCGGGGACGCGCCTCGTGCGGACGCCGCCAGAGTGTCGGGGGCGGGGACGCGCCTCGTGCCGACGCCGCCTGAGTGTCGGGGGCGGGGACGCGCCTCGTGCCGACGCCGCCTGAGTGTCGGGGGCGCGGACGCCCTTCATAGACGCCGCCCGAGTGTCGTGGGCGCCCTTCATAGACGCCGCCTGAGTGTCGGGGAGCGCGGACGCCCTTCATAGACGCCGCCTGAGTGCCGGGGGCGGGGACGCGCCTCGTGCCGACGCCGCCTGAGTGTCCGCGCACACAGACCTGTTACCGAGCCAATATTTCTTGCTCAAGATGGTAGCTTGGCAGCCGATCGTGTTAGCAAACCAGCTTCTGTTTATCTCCTCAGGCTTCGCCACGACCTGGCCTCCCTGAAGCCTAGTCCAGAAGGATCGTTATCCTCATTTTGCGGAGCCAGGCACGGGCTCCCCCAAGGCCACGTGGCTAGCGGACGACGAGCCGGGCCTGGGCAGAGCTCGGACTAGGCATCACATCCCCTGCTCTACCCACGCGGCCTCCACGCGGGGCAGTGTTGGTTGGACGTCCCTGGCCTGTGTTTTGCACCAGCGCGCCCCCCTCCCGCCCCAGACTTTCCCTCTGCCCCTGTTCACAGGAAAAGAGCTAGCACTGCCAGAGGAGCCGGTGGAAAGTTGCAGCAAGGGGGCTCAGGACAGGAGCGAGGGCGAGTCTGTCCCCTCTGGGGACTAGGCCATGGTTCTGCAGAGAGCAGCTGGTGTGGAGCGGGTGGAGGGCCTGCACCCTGCGGGCCGGGGCCCCAGGGACACTGCACGGCAGGCTAGGGGTGAGGGGTGCCGCGTGTGTGCGTGGAGGGGGAGTTGAAAGGTGAGCAGGGGCACCGAGGGAGTGAGGCCTGAGAAGCCAGAGGCAGAGACCTCCAGAGGAAGAAGGAAGGCAGGGTTCCAGCTAGTGGTGTCTGTCCCCGCCGCCCCTGGGTGACTCCGGACAAGCCACTTCCTGTAACACAGGGATACACGTAATCACTTGCCCGAGAGGGTTGAGTGTCTTGAGATGTCATGTGTGCTTTGACACAGGGGCCTGCACTGGGGCAGGTGTGCGCTCCATTCTTCGGAGAGAGTCTGGGGTGTGGCCAAGGAGAGGCCGGCCCTCCCCATGCCCCTTGCCTTGGCACTTGGGTTGAGGGGCGGGGGCGGAGCCTGGCACGTGATTCCCTGCACTGGGCACCCGAACAGGCTACCGTGGCTGCACCCCTGCCCCCACCCCCAGTGGCTGCCCTGCTGCCAGCTGAGGGGTTGCCTCCCAGCTGATTCTCAGCCTGCATGTTCAAGTTCACTCTTATTGCTTGTGTGTTGAAAGTAAGCAAAGCACAGCGTTACAAGCCGCCTCAGAGTCTGACTCTGTTTTTGCTGGGCTTTGGGAATGTTTATCTATGGCCACCTGTCTCTAGCCTCCCTCTGAGTCTGAGTTTGCGAGGGTGCTGGTACCGTGCTACTCTGGGTGGGGGTTGAGGGGATGCACCGGGTGGCTCACACTGTGGCTTGCCCTCCAGCAGCTCCCCTTCTCTGGAGGAGGGCAAGTTCTAAAGAGGGATCACTAAAGCTTGAAAGTGATCAGAAGACGCAGGGCCATCGAGGGGGGCAAGGGACAGACACATGCTTGTTGGGCACGCAGACTGTGCCGGGTACTGGGCACCATCATCTAGAAGAACGCCTCTGTTTTATTAGGTCTGTTTTATGGAAGAGAATTATTTCCAGGGAGCCCCCTGTTCTCCCTGTGATGTCACTAGTGGGAACCTGCCTTGTCACTGTGTGTTTCCTGCTGAGTTATAATCTCCTCAAGGGCAGGACATGTCCCGTTCATCCCCAGAACCTCGCGGTGTGTCTTTCCCTTAGTAGTTATTAAGGGAATGGGAATGAATGTTCCGTCAGCCAGAGGTTTGCTGAAGGCAGTGACGCTTGACCTGAGCTTGCAGAAGAGGGAAGACGCAGACCTGTGGATGGAGGAGGGAGAGAGCACCTTAAGGAGGAAGAAGCACCTTTAATTTCCTGAGTACTACCAGAAGGTCACTTTAACTGGCCCGGCATCAGGAGGATGCCTCTGTGGCTAGACACACCAGGCTGTCCTTCCGCACTGGTTTCCGCCAGGCACGGTGTGGAACAGCAAGGAGGGAGGGTCCCTGGGACCAGCCAAGAGCTTGCCCTGTTGTCTCGGAACTCCAAAGATACACAGGTACGACAGGAACTCAGGGAAGACAGGAAAGCCTGTCTTGAGGAAATGGTCCTTGAGCTGGTGGCATCCATGCCCAGCAGAGGCCCTTGCCGTGAGAGCTGTTCCCGGCCACGGCACAGCAAACGCTAACGGGTCAGAGAAGGACCATCTAACTTGGCCTAGGGCTTCAAGGAGAGCTTTCTAAAGGGAGTAACGTGAGTAGCGCTTAAGGATGAGTAGGAATTACTGGCAAACTAGGCTGGAAAAAGCATCCCAGGCAGAGGGACTAGCATGAGCCAGGGCAGCGGGGCGTGACCAGGTAGGCAAGGAGTAGAGTGTGAAGCGAAGGGCCACTGGCCTTGCCAGAGCAGGGGCTTCACCCGGTAATGATCATGATGCCCACCCTCCGGTGCCAGAGCACTCCGGCAGCTGCCCCAGGGATTTCCTGAGGAGGGGGGCTCAGAGTGTATTTTAATAAGCACCTTACCAGACTCTGAGGAAAACAGTTTTGAGAACCACAGGCACAGCATGAAGAGAAGACGTTCTGGGTGGTTCACACCAGGGAGCACCCAGATTTAAAGTGGTTTTAAAAATCTGTTTTGGAGCAAAGAGCCCTTGAGGACACCGTAGAAGCCTCCTTCAGAAGGAGCTCGCACACTCACTTTTGCAGATAATTGCAGGTCTGGAGTCCTTTCTGTGGAACCCCCCGCCCCACACCATGAATCACCCCTCGTGTAAACGCCGAGTAGAAAACCTCACACGAGGGGCTGCAAGGAGCCTACGGAGAGAGATGGGAGCCAAGGAGCAGGAAGAGTCAGGGACAGGAGAGGTTTCCAGAAGTACGACGTTGCAGCACGTCTCTTCAGTACAGGGGACGAGAGTTCTGTGCACTGCGGAGCAGCCACCTGCCCCGTGCACGCCAGGTCCCAGGGTTGGGGGGGGTGGTCCTGGGGCACAAGCAGGTGCCGAGGAACCGGGGGGAGCGGGCAGGCAGGAGCCTGATGGAAGAGCAGGGGGAGCCGCTGGGGGCGGGCAGTGGGCACCAGTTCATGCCGGCTCCCATCAGCCACGCCCTCGTTCACAGGTTCCTATTAGGTGCTTAACCCTGAGAGGGCTACTGAGTGAGAGAGACAGAAGCAGCCCCCAGTAGGGCTCCCCGCCGCTGTCCGGGTTTTAGTGCCAAGTGACTTGCCCTGGGCCCCAGGCAAACCCCGTTCCCAGTCCTGCCCGGGAGACAGAGTCAGACAGTGTGGTGATTTGTTCTGTCTGCAGGGGGCGACCGAGTCAGGGCACTGGGCTGAGCAGGCAGCTCTGCGAGAGCTGGGGGACCGGGAGGTGGGATCCTGTCTTTGCAGAAGTGACCCTCAGCTGACACTATGAGGAGCTGGGGAGGGCGGAGCGCCCTTGCCCAGAACGGCCTTCTGTCTCTGCGGCCTGGGCAGGCAGGGGGGCGAGGCCGGGGGGGCTCCTGCAGACACGGCCGCCCCCCCGGGCACTGTACACTGTGCGCGCTGGGCCCAGCTCAGAGTCGCAGCCTCCCGGCCCTCTGACCCTGGGCGTCAGGAGATGGAGAACAGTGTTGGTAATCCGTAACAGATGCTTTCATTTGGCAGCTCCTCGCCCTCTCAGCGTAAGTGGAGCGGGATTGTAAATGGAATGTTCCCACGGGCTCAGGATCCTGAACACGCTCATCCACTTGGAGTCATGTACTCCACAAACAGTGCTTAGTGTGTCCCGCGCACAGACTGGGGTTGCAGAGGGGAAGGGGGAAGAGGCTGGTGGGGAAGAGGGCGCTGACGCGGGTACCGAGGCGCAGGACACGCTGAGAAGTGCTGTGATCGTGCAGACGCCACGGGGGTCTCCGTGCCCAAGCCCAGACTCAGCTTTCCGGCGAGCCTCTGTGATGAGCCCTGTGCCTCTCTGTTCCCTTTTCGGCTTTACATCCCCTGTCCTTGCTTGACAAATTTATACTCTGCCCTCGAGGTTTCTGTTGAATAAGCCCTGAAAGGTACGTACTTGTCGGGTGGAAAGGGATTCCCAGCTGACCGCACTAGAGAGCGCATGGCTGGGATGGAGGGTCTGTGCGAGCCTGGGAAAAGTTCAGAAACCTCCTTCCCAGCCTGACGTGTCACGTCTGACAGCTGGTGGGGCAGGTGTCCTGCGCTTTTCCAGAAGCACTGATGGGGCGAGAGTGGGAGGCGGACTTCCGGCCGCCTGCGCTGTGGGGTGGGTGGCAAGCCGCTCCCGTGGGTTAGTTTTATCTCCAGGTGCACGAGAGGTTCTCATGTCAGGTCCAGGAAGATCCCTAGTTGTGTGCAGAAACTTTGGGGTGGAGTTTGCTCCTTTCCTTTTTAAAAAAATTTTATAACGTTTAGTCATTTTTTTGAGACAGAGAGAGCATGAATGGGGGAGGGGCAGAGAGAGAGGGAGACACAGAATCCGAAGCAGGTTCCACGCTCTAAGCTGTCAGCACAGAGCGCGACGCAGGACTCGAACCCACGAACTGTGAGATCATGACCTGAGCCGAAGTCAGATGCTTGAACGACCGAGCCACACAGGCACCTGCTCCTTTTCTTTTTAGGTTGAGGGATTTCAACAGATATTCAATAGCAGTCTCTGATGTGTGCTCTAACAGAGTTAACTGGTGAGCCAGTGACAGCCTGGGCCCAGCAAGTATTCACTGCTATCGAGGGTCTCCCAAGGTCAGATTAGCCTTGAACAGTTGGGGAAACTGAGGCCCAGAGTCACACAGTCTTTCTCCTCTAAGCTTCTGACAAAAGGGCTGTTTAAAGCTTCACGAATGTTGCACATGCCACCAGGAGGGAAATGACAGGCTTCAATTTTTACAAACTCCTACGTACAAATACCTGTACACACACCCATACATGTACCTGTATGCACATCCGTATACACACCCGTATGTACACCCATACATGTACCCATATGCACACCCGTGCACACACCCATACAAAAGCCCAAATGACAAAAGGATTGGACCACTTGTTCCAAGAGAGCCCTTCTTCTGAGAGAAAGACTCTGGTTGTACTTACTGCTCAGAGCAGCCTGTTAGGCCCCGTGGGGGAGAAAGTCCATCAGGCTGGTGATGCGGCGTCAGGTGGAATAAACCAGACGGTAGTTCAGCGCATTTCCCACGCCCCCAGTCAGCTGGTTGTTTTGATCACATAAAGACAGCCTGCCAGAGAGAAGCCCTCATGAGGCCTGACCTTAGCTTCCCCTCCAGCTGCATGTGCTTCAGGGCGCCTCAGAGCCAGGGAGGGTGGGAGCTGTGTGTGCCCGTCAGCTTGGGCACAGAGTGTGTGCGGTCTGCTGGGGGGGGGGGGGAGGATCTTGTCTGGTTTCATTTAGTAAAGGCAATTTTGTATGTACATTTTTAAAAATAACTCACTTCGTCATTCAATAATATTTTTAAAAACATTTGCCTGAGCTGCCCTCAGATGGTAACTGATGTAGACAAGTGAAGTTCATGGACAGTGCTTAGTTTTCATACCCAGTGAAGACACAGAGGAGCCCGGAGACCGCATGGAGCTCAGAGACCAGGTCCAGGCAGGAGAACAATCAAAATCCTATGAAAATGGAAACAAAACTCCCAAAGGGATGTAATAATCTTAAGTAGACAACATGGGTATTTTCTTGCATTTCAGCTTTGTTAGTGGTGATAAAATAAGCAGAGACAGATCAGTGCCATTCAAGTGGGGGGAAAAAGAACAGGGTTTTTTGGTTAATGCCAAGTTCAGTTTGCATGTCAAGTGTTAAAAACAGCAACCGCAGGGAACCCATGCCTGTAACTACCACGGGAAGGGTAGTTGGTGTGTAAACACGTGCTCGGGTGCAGCACGGTAGTGAGCACTTGACCTCTCCCGTCACCCGTGTGACCCTGAACCACGTGTGGTGACCCCAGGCCCCCGCCCCAGGAGCTGCGGTACCCTGTGTAGCATGCCGGCTGTCCGCCTCCGCCACCCGGAGTCCCACATCCCCTTCCTGAGCTCGCTGGGGGTTGAGGGTTGAGGCTCTTCGTGGGCAGCACACATGGCGTCTTCTTCAGAAAGTCTCCAGCCCCCCTGGCCCCCCGGGTTCACTGAGGCGTGTGAGGAGCCGCCTCGTGTTGGGGGTAGCTGGGAGCTCTCTAGGGCAGGGGCTGCCCTGTTCATCTCCCCGTCACTCAGTGCCTTTGACTCCCGGGGCCTCTGTGCTTGTCTCACTGACATGCAGACGTGACACCCAGTCATAGGACCCAGACACGAAGGAAGCAGGGGCCGCTGGAGGAGAGGGACCGGGGACGGCAAGGGGGCTTGCGGCCTTGTCCCGTGAATGGTGGGGGGGCTCCCTCCAGTTGTCCCGTGGGCCGTCCCAGGCCATCCAGAACACCTCTGTGACTCTGGAAGACAGAGAGGGCAGTGTCGCTCAGAACTGCCGAAACCACTTCCCAACCGAATGGGCTGCTTTGGGGAGCAGTGAGCCCCCCACCGGCAGCGGTTTCAGTTCAAGGCCTCGTCTGCACGCAGAGCTGCCTCAGAAGGCCTGCCGCACTGGACGTGACAGTGGCTTAGGGCCTCTCTAGGCCCTGAGATCCTGCAGGGAGCATGGATTAAGCCCCTGCTGTGTGCCGGGCTGCGGGCCCGCAGGCACGCCCTGTCTGCTGCAACAGGGCATGTCACTTTGGGTCTCCCACGAAGCAGACCCCAAGCCCCTTCAGATGATTTGCATGCAAGAGATTCGTGGGGACCCATCAGCGAAAGATGGAGGGAGCGGGAACAGGCGGGGGGAGCCCCGGGCCGTGATGCAGGTGTGCCGTCTGTGAAAGGAGGAGGGGCGGAAGGGCCTTGTGGGAGGCGTCCCAGGCCGATGCAGGGTCCCGAACGAAGGCTTCCCCCGTGGAAGAGCCCCAGGTCCATCAGAGTGAGCTGGCGTGTCAGTTGTTGGGGGAGAGTGGCCAGGGAAACATGGCCTCTGTGCGTGCCTCGGTGGGGCACCTGGCACCATTGGGTCAGCTCTGCTCCCACAGCAGGACATCTGAAGAGCACGCCCGAGCGGCCGCTACCCAGGCATTGTAGAGAGCATCAGCCGTCACGCAGTACCTTCCCGGATTTGCTTCCCCAGAATCATCGCAGGGGCTTCCGCGGTCACGTGCCAGCAAATGGTAGAGCTGGGACCTCAGGTCCGAGCCCCCTGACCTCTGAGGTCCGTGGTTTGCTAAGTTGTCAGGCTCTCCCAGCCCCCAAGGGCTTCAGGAACACACATGCCTACTCGGCATTCACAGTGACCAACAGAGCAGGTCAGCGGTGGTAAGCAACACGCTTTAGGCCATTGCTTGATCTGTGCTTACTCGATGTGGGGATGGAACCATGATCTCCCCCTCTTCTACTTGACGTCCTCAGGACAGCAGGGGACCCCCAAGTGCAGTCTGGTAAGATACATGGCCTCAGGCTCCCAGACTCAGAAAAGTCAAAGCATAGCACCGTTTTGTGGTTTCTTTTTTTCCTCCCTGGCCTGGCTGGCTGTGGGCAGGAACCACGCCCATTTTGATCATCACTGATTTCTTCTTAAATATTTATTGAATATATGATAAGTTATGGGGGGAAAGCACCATTGCACAATTCACTCGCTATACACCCGGCCATGCACAGAGCTCTCAACACAGGGCTTGGTCGGTTGAGGTCAAGCCCACCCGAGACTCTCGAACCCCGAGCACAGCTGGGGGGCCAGCAGGAAGTTGGAGCCCCAGCACTGGCACAGGAGGCCCTTGGCTGGGTAGTCGTAAAATGTAAAGCAAAGTAGAGGAGTGTGTGCAGAAGGGCTTGTGTGTGCCCCGGACACACAATTATTGTTAAGATTATAACAGTCTGTACACCGGGTCGCCCACTGTCTGAGTCCCAGAGGAGCTGGGTCCTGAGGAAGCCCAGTTCTTTGGGAGACTTAAGGAACCGACTGTGTTGGCCAAGTTGAGGTTCCCAGGTCACCGAGGGCTAATCCCATAAAAACCCTACTTTGTCACCCAACCGTCTGGGCGGTGGAGGGGGGAGGGGATCTTTTTCAAGTGTTTTGCTTCCCTGACTTCTTACATGGACATAACGTGACTTTTTCTTGACTGCTTAGTCGCAGCGCTATGATTATCTGGGACTCACATTTCTTCTATATTAACTGGCTTCAAATTGTTGGGCTTAAAATATTGTTTCTAATTCTTAAATTGCATTTATATGCCCTCCCTTTTTGATAACGGCCACTCCTCACTGTCACGGGCATGTCTGCTTATAAGGAGCGTGCCTTACCTTTTCAGTTTGGGAATTCTCATATGCTAGAGACTGAGAAGCTGCACAGCCAAGATTATCGGGCCCGTATGCGAGTGAAGAGGTCAGGGGGCTCGGAGAGACCCCCTCTGAACAACGTGGTAGGAGCTGTGGTGCACCGATCTTGGTAGATGACCGTTTTCTCTCTCCGGGGGCTTTTAGTACCTCTTTCCTGGTTTCCGTTGTGTTCTTAATGGATGACGTTGCTTGGGAAATCGTGTCACCACAGTATGGTGCCACCATCTTTTATTGTCACTTACATCCCTCTGTCCTGCAGAAGGTCAGCCAATCATTGTGTCATCTGCATAGCTTGTCTGATGCTTCCCCGCCCTAATATCAGGCATTGAGCCTTTTGTTATCTGTTGTAAGAATACTGTCTGTGTCGTGTGCTTTAGAGTCGACAAAACTGGTTGGAAATCACAAATTTAATCCCTGAGTACCTGTGTGAGTTTGTATAAATCTTTCCAAGTCTCTGAGCCACTCGTTGCCTGTCTACAAAATGGCGGCAGTGAATGGCTATGTCCTGAGTTGTGACACTTGGATGCTTTTAATGCAGTGTCTCATTTAACACCATGACTAGAAGGGTGTATAGACATTTGGCGAATTATAATCGGAATTTCCTTTCTCATTCAAGCACTTTTTCCCTGAAAGGGAAGCCGTGTTTTCTAAGCTTTGGGAACTGTTGTCACAGTACTTCCTCTCCACTCCTTGAGGTCCTTGGAGAATGAAAACCGCCCTTCCGGGGGCAGTGGGAAGCCCGGGCGATTGGAAGTTTCTTTGTGTCAAGGGGCAGTCGGCGTCCGTTTCAGAAAAGGGAAAGCCGGCTTCCAGAAACCTTCTAGCTGAGGCTGACGCTTAAGTTTTCTCTTGGTCTGCAGTGAACAGAGTATCTGCCAAGCCCGGGCTTCCGTGATGGTCTACGACGACACCAGTAAGAAATGGGTTCCCATCAAAGCCGGCCAGCAGGGGTTCAGCCGGGTCAACATATACCACAACACTGCCAGCAACAGCTTCAGAGTCGTTGGGGTCAAGCTTCAGGACCAGCAGGTGAGCGCTGGAGCCACAGGCTACACTCAGGGGCACGTGCCCCCCCCCACCACCACACTCATACATACTGAAAATATGTAAGTCATAATAATGATGTTGATGAGGTCAGAATGTGGAGTCCTGAGGTCAGGATTCCCATTCTGCTTCCATACGAGACCCTGAGCACGCCGTCTTCCTTGAACTTCATTGTTCATATCTGTCTTAGAGCCAGTAATCCCCACTCTGTCTTCCTCACTGTGTCATTATCGTGTTAGAATAAAGTACTGGGTGTGAAACGGCTCTGAAAAACGACATTGCAGACTGTGAGTGTTACTTCCCGCCTGCCCGGCCATAAGCGGTAATGCTGTGAAAACGTCTGGTTCATCAGCCCCCATAAAGTGTAACTTTGGAAAGGATAGTAAGGTGACGCGAAGAGTCGGGGATCACTTCTGTCCCTGAGGGCACGTCCTGGGCAAATCAGACAAGATGGCTGTGAGTGTCCCTGGCGAGTCTGCACACACAAGGCCAGTCCGCCTGTGTGAGAAGTGGTTGTGCTCACGCAGGGAGGGCAGAGTACTGGGCCGTGACCTGGACTGAAATAGAGACGTGGAAGAATAGAGCTTAACCGCAGTGACTCTGGTTACTGCTTAATGTCCTCCCTCCAACTCTCTGAGACCGATCTTTTTAGCAGTGAAATGAACAGTTCCGTGGTTTCAGCGTTTATGAAAAACTCTACCCACATAACATCTCCTGGCGTCCTTTGTCGGTCAAGTCCGAGCTAAACTGAGCAGCAGGTTAGCTGTTACTTCTGCAAGAATCGGCGTGTTAGCAGTTGGAAAACAAAGAACAGAGACCCAGGGCTCTATTTTGAGTACGTCGCCTGTTGAATGGGTTTCTACTTTGGCCAAAACAGCCCTGTTAAGTTTCAGATTCCTGTGGCTGAACGGGAGAGCCCCACCTCAGGACCCTCAGTAAAGGGTCTAACCCGGAACTCTTGGGGACCTTCAGATGCATCGCTTTCCCTTGTCGAAGAGCCTTACTGCTAGCAAGGTTTTCCTAGAAACCTTCTAGAAGCTGCTTCCCTGTTCTTCCAACTCACGGGTTCTGGCTCTGCCTTTTAGAGGTACATTGTGCCATGTATTGCAGCATATACAGCCTCAGTTGTGGTGACAGCCAAAAACCTCGCCCATGTTTCCCTAACACCCCTGGGTGGGGGCTGGCAGGGCAGCCCCTCCCCGCTACTTGGCTTTGACCTAAGGGGCCATTACCCAGGGCCTTTCCCGAACCACAGTGGGTGTTCCCTGAGCAATCGCTTTTACCGTGCCAAGTTTCCCGTGCCCTTCACACCTCTGGATTTCCCTCCAGGGCACACTAGGAAGACACCGCGGTGTGCCGGAAATGGCACAGCGCTGGAGAACGGGATTCCCGGAGGCCAGCATGCACCTTGTTCTCCGGGGCCTCGGTGGGAAGCACATACCGGGGCTCCTTCAGGAGGAGACCTCTTCCCCGTGCGGGGAGGGACTGGTGGCGGTCCTCAGTGATGTCCTGGGGAAATTCGAAGGCTGTGTTGACTCTGAGAGACTCCCAGAGTCTGACAGAGAAGGTACCAGCACAGCCTTCCACCTGGAATTGCATCTTCAAGAGGCAGTTCCTGGAATGTGGCTGAGCTGACCCTCTTTCCCAAGATGGATGGGTGTGTCCCTAGGAACGTACAAGGCATTCTTTGTAGCCAAGGCTCTAGAGAAAGTGGCAGGAAACCTGGCCCACAGTAGCTCCTGTGTAGCTCCAGGGGAGTTGATTTTTCTCCAGATTGATTTTTCTGCATGGAGGGCAAGGTCAAACATTTAGGGACAGGCTGAGAGCCCTGGGTTTATAACCCAGTCAGGTTATCATGCACATTTAATGCGCTGTATGGTTCATGGTGCACCTCCCATGCCTGTTATTTCAGCCTCCCAGGAGCCCCAGAGGGTGACAGTGTATGAATTCTCACCCCTGTCTTGCTAAATAGGCAGATAGAAAGCCAGGGGATCGTTGGTGGAGAGAGGGACCGATGCGCGCTCCTATCACGAGCAGCGGGCTAGCCCGAGTCTCACATTACAGGGGAAAAAATATCAAAATGAGCGATGGCACAGAAAATGTCAGTGAGCTGCCAGGCTGAATTGACACGAGGGGTCCAGAAGAAGATGGGTTATAGCCCTGCTCTCTGTGCGCTAGTCAGACTTCCCCCGGAACGTCGGGGCGAACCCAAGTGTCACAGGCTGGATTCCATACGGGGAAGGCGCCCAGATGGTGACCGGTCTGCCAACAGCAGCGCACTGTGGGACAGCTCGGAGGGGCGGGGGGGCGGGGCCGCAGGCTCCACACCGCCCACGGACTATGTGTGGAGGAGAAGGCTTGCTTTTCCTTGGCCCCCCGAGACAGGGCTAGGCATCCCGCGCAGACACCACCGTGAAGGTTTGAGCTGTGCAGCAGGAAGCGCGTTCTTCACACGCGCGTCGTCGGAGGGTGGTACGCGTTGCCAGCCCCCAGGCCAGCTGGCCGCCTGCTGAGAAGTCTGGGAAGGACGCTCCTTCACTGGACAGAGATTTGGGTGAGAGACCTCAGAAACCTTCACTCAGAAGCCCAGTTCCGTGGCCTTTAGCTCCAGGTGAACGTGTGAGTCAGAAAGACTGCTCTCTTTTTTTTTTTTTTATTGTCAGGGGCCCTTGACCGCTTGTACCCAGAGGCCTCAGAAGCATGCCAGTCCTCCCTTGGAAGACAAGGAAGGCCCTGTCACTTAGTCCCACACCCATGCCCAGATAGACACGCAGGCTTGGTAGCTGTGGGCTCGTGCACAGAACAACGTAGGACCTTTGAACATAAGTTTGTCTGGCAGCGGCTGTCCAGACCAGCCCTCCCAAATCTCAGAGAATCGCTTTACAGATAAAACAGATCAGAACAGAGGCTGAAGTGGACGAGTGGGGGAGGCAGACCTACTGACGCTGGCCGTGGGCTGGCGTGGCTGTGTCAGCGTCATACACGATAGGCTTCAAGACAAGGAGTATCACTAAAGGTAAAGAAGGACCTTTTTCATGATAAAAAGGTCTCTGGCAAAGGAAGACCGAACAATTCTACATTTATATCTTCAAAACATCCAGGGGTGCCTGGGGGGCTCAGTCAGCCAAGCATCTGACTTCAGCTCTGGTCATGGTCACATTGCTCTTGCGTTCGAGCCCTGCGTCAGGCTTTCTGCTGACAGTGCGGAGCTCACTTCAGATCATGTCTGCCTCTCTCTCTGCCCCTCCCCAGCTTGTGCTTTTTCCCTGTCTCAAAAATAAGTTTAAAAGATTAAAAAAAATAATAAAGCCAAATGGACAGATCTAACGAGACAAACGGACAAATCAAGAAGCAGAGTCGAAGATTCTAATCAGACCTCTGAGCAACTGACTGAACAGACAGACAGAAATAAGTAAAGAGATAGGAAATTTGAATAACGTCATTAACCTATGTGACCTAACATACATTTAGAGAAACCTCAGCCAACAGTGGTAGAATATACAGTCTTCTCAAATACGCGTTGAACATTTACCGAAGCACCAACGCAGTCATTGTGACACTGTGGGGTCTTCTCTCCTTTTGCTTTAAGATCCCTCAACCGTTCTTGATGTGACGTGGTTTCCAGACCTCTTCCACCAAAAAACATTTCCCTCCGGCTCGCTCTGGTTTGCTAAAGTCACTAAAAGTGCAGCACCAAAACCCGAGACCATTGAACACAGAGCTCCTGGGAGGGACTCCCCACGGCAGGAAGGAACAGGCTCTGCCACCCTACCCCAGAGAGGCTCTGGCCTCTCTACCCCCGTGAGTGTGCTCTCGTCTTAAGAGCAGTTAACCAGCGCTGTCTCACACTCTTTCTCAAAAATAAAGAAATTTTTAAAAAGGATGGGGGAGGGGGAGGTGCCTGGGTTGCCAAGTCAGTTAAGCGTCTGACTTAGATTGCATCTCAGGTCACGATCTCACAGTTCATGGGTTTAAACCCCAAGTCGGGCTCTGCGCTGACAGTGTGGAGCCCACTTAGGATTCTGTCACCCACTCTCTGCCCATCCCCACTCACCTGAGCTCTCTCTGTCTCTCTCTCAAAAACAAGTAAACTTTCAAAAAAAAAAAAAAAAAAAGAGTGGTTAACCAGAAGTCACTGTGCCCTTTCTGGTGCATACATGCCACAAAACCCCAGCCCTTTTCTGATGGCCTGGAGCTAACCCTAGAGAGAGCCACCCCAGGAACCTTGCGCTGAAACCTGACACAGTTGTGTTTCTTTGGCTGATTCAGCATGCCTGCGCTCACACGCTTGCACTCTCTCTCTCGCTCTCGCTCTCTTTCTCTTCCGCTCTCTCTCTCTCTCCCTCCCTCCCTTCCCCCCCCCACCCCCCCACTGTAGGATGACCCAAACTCACCTTCCACCTGGCTAACACTTGGAAAAAAGCTGTTGCGGCTGGTGCCCGTATTTGCTGTCCTCTGACCTTACCTCACCCAAAGCACAGCAGAACGGAGCAGTAGAGGAGACTGATAAATCAGGGGTCACAGCTTTGCGCCTAGCCCACCAGCAGGGTAGCTTGGCCACCCTACATCTCTGAATCTTTTCCTGAGCTCACCTTCCTGACCCGCGGGGACAGGAAACAGGCTCTGTCCAGCCTCAGATCACAGAGCCCTGGAGCCTCAAAGCCAGAGGGGACCTGGACAGTCCTTCCCAGCGTCTCCTGAAGCAGACCCTTCCCCCGGCATCACCCACAGCCTCGTCCAGACCCACTCACTGACACTCTGCTGGGTGCTCACACACGCAGGATTTCATCCCCACACTGCACCATGAGGCTGCCGTGCTGTGGTCCTGTCCACTCTTCCCACTTTCCAGGTCAGAAAACAGATGGCAGTTAAGTTCCATGAGGTCGGATCATGTGAGGAGCGGTAGCCGGGCAGCTCTAGGCCTCCCCCTGCCCTCCCTGAGCCACACTTAGGAAACATCACCTTGCAGAACTTGGAAGTACTTCTCTGTTAAGTGTCTGAGAGCGTAGGTGCACGGCCGGGCCAACCTGGAGCCACTCTCCCCTCTGCTTGTGGGCACCGGAAGGTCCAGGCCGTGCCTGGGCCTGCTCCTCACTGTCCCTGCTGGGCCTGGCTGGCTCCCAGCGAGCAGTGGAAGTTTGCTGATGGATACATTTGTGCGACACACTAACTTTTCTAACCTAGCTTTTTAGCTGATAGCCCGTTTAGTAATGCATCCGAAGTACTAGGCCCTGTGCACATGGGAGGCACACACAGGACCTGGCAGACCCTCGCCCTGGGGGTCTGCATGCCCAGAAATCTAGATAAGATGTGCATCACGGTGTGGCCTTCCCAGTAACCCTACTGGGAAAGCCCCGTTTTGCAATTGGAGAAACGGAGCCCCAGAGAAGCGCCATGACTGCCATGGGCGGCGTGGCTGAGGCAGGCCCAGCACTGGGCACTGGGACCCCAACTCCCAGCTCCGGCCTCGCATCTGGAGCATTATTAGAAGAAGGAGCTGGTTTTCAAACCCTCGCCATTCCGTAGATCACGCTGAAAACCTGCCTGGCCTCACCGTCCCCAGGGTACACACTATCCCTGCCCCAGAGCCGCTCTCTGCAGCTCACTTACCTTTTATTTATTTACACGCATTTCTCTGTCTTTTTCTCTCTAGGTTGTGATCAATTATTCAATCGTGAAAGGGCTGAAGTACAATCAGGCAACGCCCACCTTCCACCAGTGGCGAGATGCCCGCCAGGTGTACGGCTTAAACTTTGCAAGTAAGGAAGAGGCAACCACGTTCTCCAATGCCATGCTGTTTGCCCTCAACATCATGAACTCCCAGGAAGGAGGTAAGTGGGGCTCTGTCTTGGCCTGGGCCGGAGACCGCCCACCCCCACTCCCTCCCACGCTGCCAGCTCCCTGGTGTCCCGGCCACCGCGCCAGGCTGGTGCTGTGTGGGTTCTCGGAGAGGCCCGCTGACGGGCCCCAGATTTACAGCAGACGTTAACGGTGTGGAGGAAGAGAGAGTGCCGTTCACTTCTTCTTGCCATTTGCGAGCTACAGCTCTGCGCCAGGCGCTCCTGAGGCCGTGTGCCCAGCTGTGTTTCGCGTTTGCTATCTTCTGTGTTCTAGAATGCATGTTGAGCAGAGATGGGAGGGAGCCAGCATACGATTCATTCGTGAATTAGTCCTTCATCTGGTTAATCAGCTTTTACTAAATGTTTGCTGAGCGTAAGAAACTGGCCGGGCGGGCAGTGTGGGTAGGAGATGATCAGGTGGCGTCCTTCCCCTGCGGACACCGAGCACTTGGAGTAGGGAGATCTCTTACGCTGACATGGTGCTTCGTGCCCCGAGCGTGGGCCAGGGACTGGGGCGGGGGAGGGGGCTCAGGACACAAGTCTGGGCTCCGGTTCTGAAGGGCGAGGGGCTTACAGGGCAGAGGAGGAGCCAGGCAGAGGGACAGCGAAGGCCTCCGGGCCTGAAAGCCCTGCGTGTGTGGAGAGAGCCCCCTGCAGGGCCCCAAAGACCAGGGAGACGTTGGGCGGGCTCGGTACTTGGGGGAGACGGGGGCTGCAGGAGGGAGCAGGCTGGGGTGCTGCCAGCCTGTTTCTAAGCAGGACAAAACCATTGGTGGCTCTTCTTGGAAATGGGAAGACGGGAGCTTTCTAGGGTGTGGGTGTCTTCACGTCCACGGTCCTGCACTTTGCCGGAGACCTTAATCTTGGGAGAGTCTGTAGTCATGAACGGGGCTTAGGCTCATGCTGCTCCGTGTGAGTCCTGGCTCTGCCACGTTCCAGCTAAGGGACAGGCTTTGGACAAGTCACTCCCATTTTCTGCGCCTTGGTTTCCTCATCTATCAGATGGGGGCGATAAAGGATGTTTTTAGATTTGATTTGGTTTTTTTAAGTCGACTCCACGCCCAACATGGGGCTCGAACTAACAAGCCCGAGATCAAGAGTCACACTCTCTACCACCTGAGCCAGCTGAGTGCCTCTTAGGGTTGTTCTTAAATTTGAACAGGCAGAATGTGAAATACTTAGCAGGCTGCCTGACACACGTCCGTCACCAGTGTTGGGGGTTGTCAGTATTACGACCACTTTGGCTGTTGGCAGAGTGGGGGGGGCGGGGGGGGGCGTGGTACCGCAGCCCCGGGGAGATGGCTTCTGTGTATCCATTGGGCCTGACAGATTGCGGCTTTGGGGCACAATTTAAACTCTAGGGGAAATTTTTTTTTTTTAAGTAGATGAAAATGTTTTGCGTATGCTGCCCGTGGGTCACACACAGCACAGTACTTGCAGAGTCCTCTCCCCTCCAAGAACAGGCTCTGGGGTTTGGGGTTTCCTGGCAAGAACGTGGGACCCGTGGTAGGGGAGCCGCCTGACCATGTTGAGTGACAGAGCAGGGACAGCTCCGGAAGCGGCAGAGGCACACAGCAAGTGTGTATTAAACTGTCTTTTTTCCCACCCAAGAGCCTTGTACCTGGTGGTGAGGTCAGCTGGGTTTACGGTTTCCTGTCCGAACCACCTCACCTGCCCCAGGACATGAGAGTTGAGCTGTCTTTGATCTGTTCAGATGGGCATGTCGAGGGGCAAAAACTGAGTTTTGAGTTAAGCAGACTACTGATGCTTGCAAAGCAAGCCCTTATTCTAAATAAAAACTCCTTGTTGCTTTATTAAATCCTGATTAAATTCACCCGAGTCATAGGGAAGTCAGCTAATCAACCCTCATTGCCACATGAGAGCCCTCGACTGTTGTGAGGAAGTCACTCATGTGAGTCCCCTAGGAACCCAGAGCTCCTCTGCCTCCTTTGGGCCAAGGGTGGGGTCACCGGGTAAGAGTGGCCTCGGTGACAGCTCCCAGAGGCGTGACCTCTGGTAGAAGAAGGTCCGGTTGCACCGAGAGGGTTTTAGCTCCTTCAACTGCAGTGTGCCTCCCCCCCCGCACCCCCCCCATCCGCAGGTCCCCAGAGAGACCATGCTCCTCCCCCTCCTCCCCCAAGGGCAATGGGGACCGCAGCCTCTGAGACGACAGAGCAGATTGTCTGTGTTTGAACTTCGCTGTGTGTGTATTTCATACACTGCGCACCTGGTGCCTGACTTCTCTCCGTCCATATTGTGTGAGGGGTTCATCTAGGGAGTTGTTCACCTCTGTCGTTGCTCCTTGTCACCGGGGCGCACCCTGCCACGTGGATCCACCATTTCTGCCATCTGCGGTCCAGCCTGTTAGAGCCGGCTCCGCGCACCGACAGCCCCTCCGCCACCATCTCTGTCCGGCAGCCTCCACGGATGCCCTCCCGCTGCCGGACACTGTGCTGCTTTCTGTTAAACCCCTCCGAACCTGCGCGTCCTCAGTGGGAGGTGGTTTGCTGTAGCGGGAAAGGTATCTGTTTGGCGACAGCAAGATCTTCTCTTAAGTCTTTGTTCTACTCCCTGTCTCCCTGGGCTAATGAACCCTCCTTCCCAGGGTGGTTTCGAAGATTCATTTTGAAATGTGTGCAAAGCACTTAGCATCCAGGGCCTGGAATGTGATAGGAGCGCAAACAATATTGGCACTTTATCTTTTGTTCTTCTTAAATGTGGTCATCTTCTGTAAGCTTCAGCGTCCCTCCTCATCCAGGAAGGGCATCCATCCCGCTGCAGAGTTGGGCAGAGGGCGCACGGGCCTGCTGTGGCGTCTGGCACCTCATAAGCGCTCACCTGCCGCTCTTTCCTTCCCTGGTTGGCACCCAGGACCTGTGCCTTCGGATCGTGCCCTTTGCTGAGACTCCATGTCTCCCCAGGTTGTGTCCTGTTAGGCGTTTCCCACATCCACCTGCTGGTACGCGGGTAGGTGCCGCTGTGGCCCCTCCATGGTCTTTAGTGCCTGGCAGGTATGCGAGGCCTCCATCCCAGCCCGAAAGTCACTTGTCAGAGCAAACCGCAGATGCCGAGGGCTGGGTAGTGAACCATCTTCCTGCCCCTCCTCTCTCCCGCCTCTGGCACCGGCCCTGGGGGACGAAGGCCCGGATGACACCTAGGTTAGCAAACTGAGTCTCCAAGAGGAAAGCGACCCGAGGGTTAGCCGAGACCCAGCCCCAGGACCGTGCTGACTCAGCAGTCCGCACTGTGTGCGCACTAGCGGCCGGCACGGAGCCCCGAGCCTGGGCTCTCTTTGCTACTTCCTGCCTCGCCACCTAGTGAGGCCCATTGTCAGCCAGGATCCTCAAGATTGTTCTAAAGAAAGAAGGGGCACAACACAGTAGTATATTTGCTGCGAAGCCTGCACAGAAGTAACGGTTGGGCACTCGATCCTTGGAAGACCTGTGTGCTGACCTTGTTCCTTGGTACCTACGGCTTCTGTCTTTCTGCAACAGTGACTTTTATACTCATTGCTCAACCTCAGGCCCAGCCTAGGGAACTTAAGTCAAGTTAAATAAAGTAACTGCCTGGAGCTTGGGGGCCTCAGTTCTTGGGTGGGGGAAGGGAGGAAGGGGGCACAGAGCTCGCTTAGGGTTCTGTTGGGACCCCCAGTCTCCGGATTCGGGGATTATCTCCGTGGACAAAGGGCAGTCCATCCCTGGGAGGCTTTCTCAGCAGTACCCAAAATCTGGAGGTGGGTTGGGGGGTGGGAGGAGCTGACTGTTCCTAGAGCGTGGCTGTCTTGTGAGCGGAGAAGGCGCACTCCTCCGTGCAGCCCCCATCGGGAGAAACGGAGGCTCCCACCTCGCTGTGGTCACTGTTGTCCATGCAGGTTGCCGCCCGCCCCCCATCCCCGCCAGTTCTTCACAGAGCTTGGCCCACAGACCGTACTGCGCAGCTTCTCTGGGCTTCTGGGCGCTGCGCGACAGGGTGTGATGGCCAAGGATGGGGCCTATGCTAAATTCAGAGCTCAGGGTGGGGCGTCTTTGGCCTAGTTGGATGACACAGATGATGGTTAGAGTAATAATAATAATACCTGTACTTTCCCTGAGAAAGCCTAGGCTCCTTGTTTCTCAGCCATCTCTCTCATGTGCCCCTCCCCGCCCTTCTCAAGGAAACTTCCCACTAATCAAACAGCCCCCTAGGGGCGAGGGCTGCAGAAAGACCCTGCCATGCTGGGGAAGTACCTCCTCAAGCTCTGAAGTGCTCCTATTTTGGCCTCTGTTAGCAGGAGGCAGTGAGGCCAGCCTCCGTCACACACATGTATTCCAGCGGGGAGGCGAAGACACGGGGCATTGGGATGTCGGGGATTTCACTGTTGCAGTATCGGCGGCAGCGGATGTCCTTGGTGCAGGACGGCGTGGTCGAGCGTGAGGACATACGCGTGACTTCCCACTCGCAAAGTGCTGCGTCCTCGAAGCACAGAGGATCTCGTATTTCCTTTGGCACGTGAGCGGAGGCCCCGTGGCATCGCGTGCTGGCAATCAGGCTTGTGATAGACAGTAAACACAGCTTCCCCACCGGACTGCAGGTTGGTATTTTAGGAGTCGTTACTGTGACTCGTGTCTGCACGGCCCGGGAAAAAAACCCTTGCTTGCCTTCCCTTTCATTCTCTGCACCTCTCCTCCCACCGGACACACTCCGTCAAGTTCAGCGCCGAGAATCGAGTTCAGTGCCGAGAATCATGCTTGTCGGTCACACAGAGATTCCGGGGCTGTTCCTTCGTCTGGCTTCTAACAGGAGGGAAGGGAGGTCTGAGAGCTGAAAGACCTACATTCTTCCAGAAGCTGGCAGGTGGGGTGGTTTCCCAGTTAGCGCACGCCCCTCTTGCACTCTCCCCCCCTCGAGGGCACGTCTGACCAGGGTGCTTCCCTGCTGTCTGCTGGCCCCGGAACACACCGTCCTGCTGTCCCTATTTTAAAAATGGACAGAAACCAGAGAGGCGGGATTCC